CCTAATGGGGATGGGCGGGGATGGGCCACATTTTCACACCTAGATTGACTATCACAGGGTTACACTTTTAATAGAGTTAAAAGACATTTTTAGGATTTTTGAGTATAGAAAATTCTGGAAAATTCTGGTTAGGAGGGATTTAGAAATAAAAAAAAATTAAATTCTTAATTAAAAGGTTGTTACCATCAGGATCACAACAATTACACTGGCCTAAAAATTACCAATATTGGATCTATAATTGGCCACAGTATAGACTATACTGCAGAAGGGGTTCTGAAAGGCCAGCAGCACACCTAACAAAAATTGACCCAAGTACCCCCACCCAGTGTTTTATTCATTTCTTTTTGTATCCTAGTAAATCTTTTGAAAAAGTTGCAAATGAGTGTTATTGGCATTTGAAAGTTAAAAAATGTAATCCAAACTCCTTCATTTGAAAATATAAGTCGACTTCTTCAGGATTCTTGACTGAAAGGAAAAATGTTTTTCTTTTTTCTTTCAGAAAGAAGATAGGTGCACATCATTAATTTGCATTTGAATTTCTAAACTGAAAAAACATCTCATTTTAAAATGAAGGAAAAGTGGGAATGAGTGATTAAGTGATGAGTAGATAAATTGTACACAAGCGGTGGCATTTGGATCCATGAGTGATACAGTATCACCTTTAATTCACTTTACAAAAGTAATGTATATCTTCATAGCATCCTGTTAAGTTAATTTCTTTTGTAACTTCTAACATTTTATAGCAAGTGTCCTATTATTTAAAGATAGCTTTGAGAAACTAGTGTTGGTAATGAATTAAATACTGTTTTGTACTCAGTTTCTTTGAACCTATCCTTCACCAAAAACAAACAGAACATGTTGAAGTCTGACTTCATTTTCCCTACTCTTAAACTTGAACCATGCCAAGCGGGCTTAACAAGTATATCACGACTAAAGCTGTGGAAACTAAGTAGACCTAGTCTTAGTTATAAAATGAAAAATTTCTAATCAAACATGTTAAACTTGTGAATTCCACATAGCAGAAAAGTTCATCCAATTTGACTTCAAAATTTACCCTATGACTACTTTTGTCTAAGGTAAAGTTATCATTGTAGAGACAGATGTATTTTAGAATGATCTTGTGGTGGTTCATCAGTTGAGTTATGTCCCCAAGTTTGTTGACCACGCAACACCAAAAAATATTTTCCAGAAATCGCACCTCAATTTTTTTGCCTAGTTGACTTTTAACTTCGGAAATCTAATTCCACTCTTTAACATTTGCTGTTTTGTCATCACGTTTAACACGTACGTTCTGCCAACCTGAGCTTAAGTTATTAATGTTAAAGTTTTAAACAAACTCAGCCCTTCTCTTTATAACACTTATCTAATTCTGTGTGTTTACTGCTTTTCCATCAAACCAATTTCCCCTAACCAAAAGAGCAGAAACATCCAGTCCTTAACTTATTCTATGTTTCTTGGTAAAGATATCCATCAAAAATAAAAAAATATCAACCTCTTAGCTTTCCTCTATATGTTGTTTGGAGCTCTACATGAGAGAATAAGTTGCCCGCCACAAGAACTACTCCAAAAGTCCATACTTGAATGGTCTACATGTTTTATCCACAATTTTTTTTTTTCGCTTGTGAGAATAGCAACCCTGGATTTCAAATGATATTTAGTGCGTTAGTAATTTAGGTCGTAGTGCATGTACAGTTATAGAATAGTATATTCAAGTTCTTTGTAGCCTGGGGATAACACACAGATGTTTGCGTGTGCTGCACAATGCAGAAGCAACAATTTTTATTTTGGTTGTTTTATTATTAACTTTGTTTTGGGTGAAAATGATTTGAATGAACAGTCAGAAAACGTTATCGGATTGAATTTGTTTCACTTTGTATTTATTGTAAAGTTAGTTTTGAGAGTGGTAAGACTTAGATAACTCTTTAACTCCCATGGGTGAACAAGATTGAATTTCCTCTCACCGTTATCAGTACAATATCGAGCACAACAGTGATGGGAATAAAGAAAAACATCAATCTAGGGATTATTGGTTGATCCAATACCGAGTTCTCAGAACTAACATCATAAGAATTGTATGACAGGCTGTAAGGAGAATTACTTATGAGATCTTGGGAGTGAAAGGGTTACCAGCTAAAGTTGATTATAATCGTAAAGCAAGGAGTTTGTAAAAAGTTATTGAACTTAAATTAGCTTGAAAAATATGCAAAGAAACTTTTAAATCGTGCTAAATATATGAACATTGATCTTATTTTTTGGTGAAAATGTAAAACCACTAGTTTTGTACTTAAACGAGTTGTTTTCGTTAAAGTTTCTTCCATCGCCGCATTCAGAGTCATAAACACCTTATTCTGTAGTTGGCTTAGTAGATCTACGTTGTTTTCCGCTCATATATCACTGTACATCTTGTTTTTGTCAACTATTAGCAGTCAGTCAGATTATTTTATGATGCTAACCTAACGAAGACGGACATTGTAAATATTGCCTTCCACACAAAAATGAAACGTAACTTGAAGAGTAAATAAAGTTCCCGTTTTTAAGTGGTTGTAATTGTGTGTTCGCAAGACGCAGTTTGATTAGCAGGCTGTGTGCGACCTGACCCTGAGGGATACAAACTCGTCCCATTTCTTAATTCCCGTTTTGGTCCTCCAGCGGAGCATCTCATCCGCGCGGCAGAAAAGCGAGAGGCTACTACGAATTATGGGAATGACAGAGGACTCACCTTTTTTCCGACTCCTCTCACCTTATGCTTTTCGGTTAGAAACTCAATGAAGAAAACGTCATCAGTGTTGGCCTAGAATTTGAAAAAAATAACTATGCCAATCGATAGGTGACCTATCGAAAAGAAAACATAAACCCCATCGATTAATTTGTGATCATTTTTTTTTTGACATGTTGCTTCCGTGCGCTGACCTACATAAGGATGACTTGTTAAGTTCGGCGTCTGAATCAAGAGGTGAACTTTTTCGAAATTGAGTCAGTCCCCATCTGGATTAAGTTCGGCTCACTTAATGCCTTAAAATACGAATAACCTTATACCAGGCTCTCATTAAACCTCGGTCAAGTTCACACCTTCATGCAAATAACGTCATCAGTTGTTCACCCGCGATTCAAAGATGGTTTCCATGGCAACAATGAACAACTTTAAGTTACAAATCACGTCAAGACCATCTTCAAACAAAAGAAGAATGTAGAATAATAACCAGTTCCTATTAGATTACCGAAAAGCTTTTCAAAAGACGTACGCACTGAAAGCTTGGAGGTAGCAGCGGTGTTGTACACGCTAGGTAAAGGAATGTTAAAGTTTTGACAGAAATTCAGACGAGTTTATAACTTCAGGTCATCTAACAAAATCATCACACCACCATTGTCTAAAGAAACAAAAGAAAGAGTAATTTATGCAAGTCTGTTTGATGCCGATGTCTTGTAGCATGGCTCAGCAGAGCACACGTAAAAAGACCCCAGCCCGGGATAGCAAAACACAACAAGAAATTGACCGGCAGCACACGCTGTTAGCCGCAGATTTGGACAAGAGAGCTTTGAAAGGAAACGCAAAAGTGGAGGATTGGCGTCATTACAAAGAGTTCACGGGGTTGTCGAAGAAAGAGAAACGAGAACGATTCCAAATTCAGCAACAGCGCAAGGAAATTTTGGACGACTTGAAGAAAGTTCGACGAGGTTATACGGGACATTATGACGAATCGAAGTCCCCAATAGAAAATATTCAGAGTGCTTTAAAACAGCAGTGTTTAACACCGTTAAGAAGTTCAAGATTAGATGTTCCTCGTGCTTACCCAGTAAGAAAGACCAAATCGATGGAGCATATGCCCGTTGTAAAACCTGGATGTGTGTCGCAAAGGGGAAGTGAAATTCAGCAAAGACTCAAAGGTGTAGATTTGGTAGAGAAACCCACTCACAGTAACAAGTGAATTCGTAGGAGTATATGTAGATAAAGTACACCACGTAAAAGTAAGGAAGAACCGTGGTGCTGGACCAGACTGTATTTGAAACAACTTTGAGAACTTAAGATAAGAAACGCGGAACAGAAAGACAAGTTGACATTGAATCTGGTCAATGTGATGAAGACAACAATGCATACAATTTTAGTTAAACATAATGTTCAGTCCCAACTCATATACAGAGCTCGTAGGAAGTTTTTGCATGTGAAGTGCCAACAAATTAAATATCCGCCAATTCATGCAAAGAAGTGGAAAAATGTTCTCTAACTGTTTACCTTTTGTTTGACTATAGAAAGTGCTTGCAAATAACAAAAGTAAACTTATAATCTAATTGCCTTGGTAATAAAACTTGACTGACTGCTATTTGATGACAATTGCTTATTGTTAATGTACCAAATGAGGGCAGAATCCGAAGCGGCTTCTTACAGTAATTAAGAGTGTGCGCACAATGGTATTTAGCGGAAAGAGTCTCATTTATGACACCAAGAAAGTTTTTTAGTTATTTACATACTGCGGGTTTCACGAATTCCATTGTGTGCTTTGCCCCCGAAAAGTAATTACACCATGACCACGATCGGACCATAATCATGATTAAAGGTCGAATTGTCAAAGCTATTTCTTCATTTGACAAGTGTAGGTCGAAGAGAGCAAGAAAATAAAACTGCTCAGCATAGATATTGCGAATGATACTGGGAAAATAGGGAGCATCTCCTCATTCAAGGGTCAGGGTCGACGCCATATTTTGAGCCTTACTTCCCTATGATAGTTCGGGAGGCCCCAGAAAATGTTAAGGCCATCAAGACGACCATGATCGTCTGGATAGAACGTACTAAATCTACGCTTCAAATATGGTTTCCGTATCGCTAAGGAATCCAGGAGTTACTCGAGTAGATTTTGCAGGGCGTTCGATCAAGGATATCCAACCGTTTAATATGAGTTGTATACAAAGATCTTCAGTCTCCTTCGCAGACCTGTGGGGCTGCAAGTGCGTCAGCGCAAATTTCAAATTGTTGTTACTTCGCTCTTGACATGGACACCGACAAGACGTAGTCATAATACAATCGAGTATACCTCTGCTGTAATTCACGATGTAACAGACGTCAATACAACTTCGATGGTTTTATTTCCCTTAATCATAATTTCTGTTACATTCACTTTCCCGTTTTTACTCATGCACTCCATAGAAGGCCTGAGTTCACATTAGATGTAGGTCCACTTACAAACCGCCGTCAAGGTGAGATTCACGCATATGTGAGTGCAAGTTTTCCATTTGTCTCCTTCAATATCTAAGTGAAGACCGCGTGGAAACAGTGTGTGAAAGGGATGACATTTAACACAAGCTTTTGGAATACTTTCCAGGAGTTTTTCACATGCTTATGGAAAATACAATTAAGATAATTAGTGTGAAAATCGTGTTGCTACCATGCCAAGATTTTACCCATATCAGCGACTGAGATCACGCTGGTGAACGTATGTCTAGTTTCACTAAATATCGTAGCTATGTAGCTACGATTACATGCCAATCATGCAAATAAGATTGTCTTCAAGTACGCTATACTAAAGCTGTTCCGGTGCTCAAATTTTGGTCGAGGCGCACCCTGCGAGAAGGCCCTGAAGGCTGACACATGAGAATTTCTTCGCCCGCGAGAAAATCTGAGGGTATGAGCTGAGCGAGGTAGCTGTAGGTCTGCGAAGGGTCTGGCACCAGTGTCACCGCTGTCCTCTGTCACTTACTTGATTTGCTTAAAGCCTAAAACATTCTCGCCAGTAAAGAAACGCTCGTGCCACAGCGCTAAGAACGAAAACCTCTCGCAAGCTATACGCACACGCCTTCGATCCCCTCACAAACCCAAAGAATACTTTTGTTAGGCAGGCTGTGCAAATTGTAGCAAAGAGTTTGTAAAGATTATTTGTAACGGAAGCCATAACGTCAGCGAAGTCAACGTCGACTATACTATCTTAATCATGAAAGCACCTCACTTTTAAAAATATATTATTTCACTTTGTCAAATTTTCCCATATAAAAGGGTTCAGCCGAATTTCTCTATTACAGGTCTCAATACTTATAAAAATAAACTGACTACCATTAAGATTCATTTACATTCAGTGTAGGGAAATTTTCTTCGACTAAAACCCTAAAACCCTCGGATAGGTATCCATATCCTCCACACTGTTCTCTTTACATTTCCTATGGCACTGAAATGGAAAATTTGTTCAAAAATCAAGAGCTTCACTGGTGGGTGATCATTTTCCTTGTTCTCATGGCCCTAATGTTTGATTCAACGTTGATAGTGTAAGGAGAAATAAGATTCTAATCACTCTTAGGGGTTTGAAGGTTAATAAATTCTTCTCTATGCCTGGTATCCTCCAAACAGTTTGAAAATGTCTCTTAGTTCAGCTTCTTGAGAATCTTTCAGAGGTAGGAGCGGAGATCTCGTGGGTCCTCCGTAGAGGCCAAAAAACTCCATGGATTTCTTCAGTCCTGGAACACCATATGTCTTGGTTACCTGAAAAAATGAGAAAAGATGAAATATTAGACATTATCTTTATTCCTTCCACAAGGTCAAAATGCCATAGACTAATGTGGTGGTAGAAGAAAAAAATCGAGTTATGTTGTCAAGGACTATAAATCTTATAAACTTTTGGTTAACCATGCTAAGCGATGACACACAATGTAGTAATAGATCTCTTGATCTCATTAGTAATTCTCGTTACTATCAACCATACAATTCTTATAATGTTAGTTCGGAGAATTTGGTATTAGATCAACTAATAATCCATTTAATAATATTTTTCTTTATTATACCCATTTTGAAATCACTAGTGGTCCCTGTAATCTGATTGGCTCTGATTGGTGCGATTTATTCACGAATCGCAACATTTTTTGCCTTAAATCGCATCTT